CAAACAAAAAGTAGTTTAATAAAATTTGTATGTAAGACACTAAAACTTGTTTCATGCGCAGTAAAGGGTACCCATGCAGAAATAGTTTTAAATAATGTATTCCTTTGCATATTATAGTAATGAGTGTACCAATAGCATTACTTAAAGCAGTTATTTCTATATGATGGAAGTGAGTGTACCAGAAGCATTAAATAATGTAGTCCTTTGTATATGGTGGTTGTAAATATTATTACTTCTCTGGTCAATTTTCCGTAGAAATTCTTTCCGAAAAACTTCAGCAATACAAGTCCTTTCTTAGATAAAACTAGTTTATTTTTTCTCAATACAACTTTTCAATACACTTAATTTCCACAGTCACTTTAACTCAAACACATGCTATAACTCACAATGATTCACGCACTTTACTTACGACTTGACTCGATTATCTGTCTATCTCTTCAATCTCCAGTTATTCATATATATATATCGTCACTTCTCACCGGTCTTATATATACGAAATAGAGGGCGCCTGGAGAACACTCGAGGCTTCACAAAGAGACATGATCTTTCTAGGATCTTGTGACGTGTTACTAGCGTCACATGACTTCTGCTGTCATAACAATATACTAGTAGTATTAAAATAACATAACATTTTGGGACAACATGAGACCTATTGGTCCATCTCAGCTGTTCCATCTTCTATACTAAATTAAATCTATTAATAAATAAATTTTAAAAAATCTTAAAGCCAGCCCATATCATTCATTTAGTTGTCAAGCTTTCTCTTAAACACACTTAAATTTACTGCCTCCGCAACATCCAAAGGCCAACCACCATGTTAGAAGAATAAAACTGTCTTAGCTGAAGATGTCTCCTACCCTGTCAAAATTTGTGTTTTCCCCTAGTCCTACTATTCTCACTGTGAAGTATGAAAAAAAGATGATGCATTAACACTATCAATTCCCTTTATAACCTTAAACACCTCAAAAAGAAAACAGTTTGAGAGATTTCAACCTCTACACATATGACAACCCATCCATCCCAGGCACCATTCTAGTAACCCTTCTATGAACCCTTTCCAACAACTCAATGTCTCTTCTAAAGTAAGGAGCCCAAGAATGAACACAATATTCCAAATGTGGCCTAACCAGTGATCTATACAATGAAATTATAACCTCTTTAGACATGTATTCAATATTTCTGTACATAAAACCTAAAATTCTATTTGCCCTACCACTACAAACAGCACACTGCTTGGATTGCTTTAGAAATTGATTGACTATTACACCAAGAACACTCTCTTTCATGACACTGTTAAGGTTATTCCCATCCAAATTATGATAACTCGCATGCACTATCTTGCATTTATTATAATTAAAACCCATTTGTCATTTATTTGCCCAACTCACTAAATGATCTATATCCTTTTGTAAATCAGCAGCATCTTCTTCACAGCTAGCAACACCCAAGACTTAATGTCATAAGCAAATTTAAGCAACTTATTAACCATTTCTTCATCTATGTCATTGATGTAAATCAAAAAGAGCAAAGGTCCTAAGACTGAGCCCTGAGGTACCCCACTTTTGACATTAATCCAGTTTAACTGAACTCCATTTGTAAAAACCCTCTGCTTTCTTCCATCCAGCCACTGTTCTGTCCAATTAGCTACCTTATCCCCCACATCTATAGAAATAATTTTTTTTACAAGCCTTTTATGTGGCACCTTGTCATATGCTTTCTGAAAATCGAGATACACCAAATCTACACTCTTACCTTCATCTACATAAGAATGTCAAAAGGTTTGTAAGGCAAGATTTTCCCTTAGTGAAACCATGTCGACTATTCAATAAAATTTGTTAAATGGCTTTGCAAAGCATCTTTCATCAGACGTTTCAAAACTTTTCCCACAGCTGATGTAAGACTAATGGGTTTATAATTACTGGGACACTTTTTATCATCTCCCTTGAAAAGAGGAGTTACATTAGCTAACCTCCAGTCCTCTGGTAACTGCCCACTATTCAAGGACTGACCAGAAATAGTAGCAAGTGGCTCACTTATCCAATCTTTAACCTCCTTCAAAACCCTTAGGGAATTATCTGGCCCAGGAGCCTTATCTTTCTTTAAATTTTCAAATTTTTTTCTTAACCAGCTCAGAATTAATATAGTCATCTTGTTCAGTTTTGTTTCCATCAATCATCTGTTCAAGATGTGGAATACTGCTTAAATCTTCATTAGTAAAAACTAGAAAAGCAAAATTTAATAACCTAGCCATCTCATAATCATCAGATATGAGCCTTCCTTTATCCTCCCTCAAGGGTCCTACCCCCATCCTAACATTTTGTTTACTCTTAATGTATTTAAGAAATCCTTACTGTTAATTTTTACAGTTTTAACCAACCTTTTCTCATATATCCTTTTTGATGTCATAATTTCCCATTTCACTTTTTGATCTTCTATAAACTTCTAAATTTTCTGTCATACCAGTCAATCTAAATTTCATAAATTTATGATGCTTTGTTTTAATTTTATCTCTTATACTCTTTGTGAGCAAACCTGGTTATTTACTTGCAGCTACCCTTTTCTTTCTATAAAGAATATGTT